CACTAGCTCTGGAGTTCTCGTTAAGTTAGAGAATAAATTTCTTACTGTTTAAGCCAGTGGAATCAGAGTTTTCTCTTTGTAGCCAAAAACATCCGAAGTGATTTATTACCTGATAGATTTGTGTAGAATAAATGACACATTCCTATAAAGGGTTTAGCACTGTGAAATGTTAACAATTATCATTAATAGGACACTTTAATATGGAATTATATACAGCTTTCTTCTTTACTTATGTCATGTTTCTCCAAATATACATGAGAACATTTTTGGCCAGAACCCAAGCTTCTGCTTCTTTGGTGCTCAACTCAGTTGTCAAGAAANGGTTACATCCAATGAATGCATTGTGGATTGAAAATACTGAAAGTCAAAATGCATTTAATACTACACTGCATAGTATTGTTTCTTTACCTTCATGATGGTGGCTGACTGGGAGCTATGGCTCTCTGTGGCTGCCAGCATCACGACAAAGTATCATACCGCTAGCCCTAGAAAAGATCAAAATTTGAAGTACAGTTTCTACTGAATGGGTATCGTTTTCACACCATCGCAAAGTTGAAAACTGTAAGTCAAACCATGGTAAGTCAGGGACCATCTGTACATTGAAATGGTACTCAAACATCTCCCAGCAAGCCCCAAGCCCTGATGGTTACATAGGTGATTCCTACCCCACTCATAAGAAACAGTTATTTCCTATCTTATACAACTCATTCCAGCACACAGAAAATGAGTGACCACCACCAGCACATTTTTTTAGAGGCTGGTGGAATCTTTATTTCAAAATCAGTTAGCAAGAATTCAAGAAAATAGAATTATGGGCTCATTTTACTTCATTTATGATCTTAGATGCAGTCCTAACTGAGCAAATCCAATTGTGTGTTTTAAACTTAATCCATCATGCTGTGGTCATGGTTGCACAACAGTGTGAATGTACTTTATGTCCTGGAACTATACATTTGGCGTAAATGAACCAAAAATGGTTCAAATGGGAATTTTTATGTTCTGTATATTTTATCATATTTAAACATTTTTTTTAAAAGACTTTATTTTTTTAAAATCCTCACCCACGGATATATTTTTTTCATTGCTTTTGAGAGAGAATGGGAGGGAGATAGAGAGAAACATCGATGTGAGAGAGACACATCAATTGGTTGCCTCCCTCATGCTCTGCACAGGGACCAGGGTTCGAGTCTGCAACTGAGGTATGTGCCCTTGGCTGGAATCAAACCCAGGACCCTTTAGTCCACAGGCCAACGCTCTAACTACTGAGCCAAACCAGCTAGGGCTCTTTTTTATATATATATATATATATATATATATATATATATATATATTCCTACCATAAATGTAACTCTGATGGACAGTCTAACCCAGGTGTCCTTATGAGTTGGGTGGAGACTGTATCCCCAAGAATAAGTTTTATTTTGCCACTGAAAGTGAATTCCAAGATAATTTAATCTAAGTAGTTTGAAAGGGGGAAAAAATGGCAGACCTTTCTAAAACTGGAAGTCTCCAGAATCCCAGGCTGTCAGGGCTGGAAAGGACCTGTGGGCCATGTGGTCCATCTTCTTCATTCCACAGCTGAGGCCCAGAGACTGCCTCATGGTCACACAGCTAGAGGCCAGGCCAGGCCTGGAACACAGCCTCAGACTCCTGTGTCAATCACTTTCCTTTATTTGTCATTACTTTCTTGACTTTCTCCAGAGTCATCTTCCCTTACAACCTGGGTAAGGGGAAAACCCCTCTTCCCAGAAGTTGGGCTTCGGGGAATCCATGGGAATTTGTGGGAATCTGTGCATCCACTTCTTGCCGAGGTCACTCTGCAGAGTTACTGCCAGGGACCAGGTGGCCTGGCATGCGATCTGAAACTCTGCACCCTTTGTTGACTGTAAACATCATCCCTGAAGGGTCGCTAAGGGCCAGGTGCTGGGAAGAGGCCTCTCCCTGTCCAAGCACTGATTAGTATCTAGTGTGGAGGGCTGGTAAAAGGGTACCATCTAGGTCAATGCAAAGGAGGGCATAGCACCTATGGGCTGAATGGCACTGTCCATCTCAGGGTGAGATTTGGAAGTTCTTGAAAGATTTTCTTCCAGTCTGTTCTAGGCTAGGCTGGCTCTGCACATGGCCTACCCTCACCCTCACCTACCCCACACACCACATTCACAACTTTGATAACACCATTTTCCATACCTGAATGCTCCTACCTTCTCTCATCTGCTCCCCACCCCCAAGTTGTTGACCAGTATTAGGAAACTGTTGTAGCTGGTACAGCAGAAAGTGAGGTGGTGTAGGACTTGGGGCTCACAGGAAGGCAGGATAAATCCTGAGTTGGACCAAGACCTCAGCTTTACAGATCCAGAAACTCAATTTTATCAGACTGTTTGGGTTCTGAAGGACTGATTGGCACTAATACATAAACCAGAAGGCCAATTTATTCATTAATGTTAAAGGACATGTCTTTCCAGTGACTGAATTACTCATGAATGCTAATGAGAAACCCCCCACCAGCCATCAATGCTCTCCAACTAGTGCTCCACCCCCGCCCCTTTCCCTGGGATCAAAGGAGCTAGGGATAACTCAGCTCAGAACATTGACTCAGAGCACAGATGACCAATGAAAGTGTGGGAAAAATAAAGCAGGTAAAGGAAAAACTTGAGAAATTGTCCCTGTTACAAAAGGATTTCAATTCTATAATAGAGAACTTATTTTCTCCCAATGGTCTTTCTCCTTGGTTATCACTGGAGAAAGACGGATAAAGTTTGTGTTTCTGGACTCCATATAGACCAGCCATTCCCCTTTCAGCCAACACATCCTTCCACCAGGAAGCCCAGCTTCAAAATAACTGATTTGCTCACAGCTCTTTCCAGCAGCATCTAGTCTTGAGGATACATCGAAGTGGGCATTTTAATGGCAGGTAGCGTGTGTGTGGCAACTAGTATCTCTTAGTGTGGGAGACTTCTGCAGAGACTATTTTATTTGATGATGACTCTGCTTGCCTCCCAATTCTGGGGAACCCTCATTTGGCCTCTTCTCACTACCACTGAGGCATTGAGCAGAGTGGGACAGATCGAGATCCAGCCAGTGGGCAGGCCAGAAAGCTGGGTGCTCCTGCAGTCCGGGGGCCCCATCAGCCTAGGGGCCAGCTGTGAAGGGGGCTCACAGCCTTGGCCCACTCACACGTTTGCCTCATGCTGAGCTGGGGTTCTCGTGGACAGCCAGCTTGTGACTGTCTCAGCATATGCTTTGCTACCGACTAAGCCACTAACCATATGACATCCTGTGACTCACTTCTCTCTGGACTTCAGTTTCAGATAGGCCCTATGGTCTCCTCCAGCCCTAAGATGACCAACTTAAGTAATTTATATTTATAACCTGCTTTAAAATACAACATTTTATGGAATCCCGCAACTCCACACTTATCTCTGAGGAGAATGTGTCTTAGAGGAGGTAAGCACCTCGTCTTGAAACATCCACCTAGCAAATGGCAAACTAGGTCTCAAACACAGATCGGACTCCTCATTTTCTCAATCAATGACTGATAACGCCTCCTGGGACCCAGACAAGGAGGAATTTTTACTCATCTGGGTCCTTTGCTTTCCCCTTTCCTTGCCTCTCCCATCTCAGGGCCTGCACTGCTCTCACCCTCTTTGTCTTCTGTCTTCTTTCTGCTGAGATCTCCGTGTTCTCTCTCAACCTTCTCAATCTCTCTCCCCTCCACCTTTCCTTCCTTCTTCCTGCCCTATTGATCCCTTTCTGAGCCTCCTCCCTCCCTTGCCCTCTTTTCCTCCTGCATGCCAGCCTTTCTTGGCAAACATTGCTGGGTTCTGCTTTTGTAAAAATGTCGCCCCACACTCCTGGGTGAATCTGTGGGCTGGTGAGGGCAGAAAGATGGTGTCCAGGTAACTATTTGTCTGAACTTTATTTATAGTTCCACATATGTGTTCCCATCGTTCAGTTTTGTGTTTTTGAACTTCGACATTCTTCTTTCAGTTAACGTTATATATTTGAGGTTCCATGTTTGTATTAGTCAGAGTGCTGCAGAGGAACAGAGCGAATAGATCTATGTAAAGCAGATTTATTATGAGGAAGTGGCTCATGTGGTTATGGAGACAGAGAAGTCCCACCATCTGTTCTCTCCAGCTGGAGACCTGCTGGTGTCATTGCAGCCTGAGTCTAAAGACCCGAGAACCAGGGGTGCTGATGGTATAAATCCCAGTGCAAGGGCAGGAGAAGTCCTATGTCCCAGCTCAGTAGACAGGTGGGAAAAAGGGGGCAAATTTCCTTCTCTGACTTTTGTTCTATTCAGGCCCTCAACAGATTGGATGAAACCCACCCATACTGGTGCAGGTAATCTACTTTACTAAATCCACTGATTCAAATGTAAATCCTATAGATATACCTAGAAACAATGTTTAATCTGGGCTTCTCAGGAGTGAGTATTTTCTTGGCAATTCTCAAGTAATTGGGCACTAAGTGTGTTTACTTGCAGCTCTCAAGACTCTTTATACCCAGGGGAATCCATTTGTACTTAGTGTTTGTATGAGGTTATATGAGAGGCCTCTTAAGGGATGTGCTGTACAGTGTGTGTTTTCCGTGCTTCCTCTGAGCACTTCCTCACGTTCTGTGAATTTGGGAGGGAAGTAAGGAAGGTGGCATTGACATCAAGGACAAGTGGGAGGAGGCGCAAGAGGGCCTCATAGCATAGTCTCTGAGAAGGGCAGATGCCCAAGCATTGTGCTGGAGAATATGCTTATATCATTGTTTGGCAATGGTTGGTTAGTTATCAATGAACCAGAGCAGAAGACAGACGGAAACCATCACACCCACCCCACCATGAGTTTGGGTTTCCTCCAAAACCATTTCCCTTCTGAATGTGGATGCAGTGAGCTGGATAGAGGATATAAGTTGACTTCAGGAAGCTCTCTCCACACTCTACAGCCTAAGGAGGTAGGTCATTGCCGAGCCTCTCGCCTCTGCCTTTGGTCTGACCTGCCTTCAGTTCTATGGGAAACTTTGAGGGTCATCTGTACCCAGGGCTGTGTTTCTTCTTCTATGGACTTTATTACGCACGACTCGCTTTCAGGGCCTTGATATGCAACTGCCCCGTTCAGTGTCTGCCAAGCTGTCCTTGGAGCAAAGGGAGATGGGCCAAGCTGCAGCAAGTATACTATGTTGGGTTGGTGAAGATACTGAGCACCTGCATTTTAGTAGCCCAAGAGCTGCATAGCATTCCTCTACAGTTTGTACTTATCACCAACATGTATCATCAGAAGAATTTTTTGTACCGCAAGCCATGGCAGCACCTCACTATGTATATGTCCTTCTTCCTGAGCGGGTGTGTGGATGTGGTGAGCCAGAACCTGCTGCCCCAGAGGTGTGCTGCTCTGGAGCAAGGTGCCCAAGCCCTGAGCGTGTTTCTGCTTGCGCCCATGATGGTGTCTCACATACAGGACCTAGATGGAGTGGAGCTGCGGGCTCACATCCTGCTCACCCAGGCCATCTTCCTGCTGATGCTCGTGGTCATTGCGGAGCTCTGGGCTCCCAACGTGCTGCAGCTCTGGGTGATGAAGGCCTTTCTGTATATGATCGTTGGCTCTTGGCTGATACAGCTCGGCTTTATGCTGTACAAGCCAATCTCAGGCTATAAGTGGATGGACGATGACAAAAACGACATTCTATTTGTCACCACCTTCTTCTGTTGGCATGTGGTTTTCATTGCCATTTTGATGATCTGGATCTATGGCTTCTCCTTTTGGTGGTATTGTTACATCTGTTGATGTCTGAACCTGAGAGAACCCAGAATGGTTCCTGTCACCTGCACGTTCTGGAACACCTGGCTGAGAAACTGAGGGAAGTGGAGCTGGCAAAGAGGAGGACCAGGCGTCCTTCCTTCAGAGGTCCCACCCGATGCAGCAGACTCTGCTAGGACAGGCATGCCCCCTTCGTGCCTTCTGGCTTCTCTCTGTCTCATTTGCTGAGCAGTGTGCCGAGGGAAGGTGAATGACACACAAGAGGCACGTGACTATGGCCTTCACTCTCAGCTCCCTTAGTATTTCCCCTACCTCCCCTCACTCTCCTCAGCTCCAGCCAAGGTGGTCTGCTCACCCTGCTCCCCTCTGCACTCCTCACTCGGCTCCAGGAGAATGTAAAAGTAAATGTACTAAATCCCGCCTTTGGGTCTGAATAAATGCCCCTCACCCACCACATAGAATAGTCACATTTAGTACATCACAATAATTTACATACTGTATTACATCATAATAATTTGCCTCTCATAATAACCATCCCCTCAGCCCTCCTCTTTCTGGGCCTCTTTAATACTTATACTAAATTGGAACTGCCATTTTGAATATACAGAACTCTTAGAATTGTTACTGAGTTCTTTGTTTTGATTACTTTATAATTTGTCAAAAGGAAAGTCAGATACTTTTTTTTCAGCTTTATTGAAGTATACTTAATATTTTAAAAACCACACATATTTAATGTATACATTTTGGTGATTTTTGGACCTATGTGATACCATGATAGCATCACCATGATCCTTAGAGTCAATGTCCTCTGCAGGGTCTAGCAGAACCGAGTAACACCCGGCACCCAGTGAGGCTCAAAGGGCTCATTTGCTTCCAGGATTTCTCTGTCTGTTTTCCCAAATGTAGTCTGTAAGATATTCCTATCTGTGCAGACCAGCCCTTTGCCCTGTACACACTTCAATCAATTTCCAAGTAGTAGACTCACTGGGCCCACTTCTTTTTGGTTTTCATGTATAATACAATCCAATGGCTTGTTTATTTCACATACTCTTTAATCCTACAACTACCCTATCAGGTTGGTTTATAAATGATAATATAAAATTCAAAGTAACTAGCTTAAGGTAGCTAGTCACTTTGCTATGTCACATAATGCCATAGCTAAGTGTCAAGGAGGGTTGGAGTGCTGAAGAGTAGAGTTAAATTATTGGGGACTTGCAAAACAGTGTCTTTATGTCACCATTCTTCTTCTGTCCTTGCTGTCCCTAGGAGATGGAGCATCTGTCAAATATTCCTCAGGTTCCCACCCTGGCAAGGTAGTCCAGATTTCTCCAGGCTTCCAGGCCTGTGGAGTTCCAAGCCTTCATTCAGCTTCTGCGCTTCTTCTTGGTCCTGGCGACCAGTGGAGCTCAGCAATTTCCCCTGTAGGTTCTGCTGTGTTCCTGGTTGATCCCTCTGGTCCCATCTCCTTGTTTCTCCCCCACAAGCTTGGGGATCTTTCCAGGCCTTGCCCATCCTTGCAGCTTCTCCTTCCTGTAGCCTAGTTGAACCTCCTCTAGTGACCTGAAGTTGGGATGGCAGGGAATCTGCTATATTCTTTCCTAGTAATATGGTAAAACTCTGTTTCCTACTTTGTTTGGGCCTCATTTTTTTTAAACTGAGATTTTATCTCTCTTTTATATATATATATGTTTTATTGATTTCAGAGAGAGGAAGGGAGAGGGAGAGAGAGAGATAGAAACATCAATGATGAGAGAGTCATTGATCAGCTGCCTCCTGCACTCCCTCCATTGGGGATTGAGCCCGCAACCCAGGCATGCACCCTGATGGGAAATCGAACCACGACCTCCTGGATCCTAGGTCATTGCTCAACCGCTGAGCAACATCAGCCAGGCAGGCCTCCTCTTTTTGATATTAAGAGCATATTTTAACCTAAAAAGTGATACTTTTTTGCTGTTATAATCAGACCTCATCTTGAGGCAATATCTTTCACTAATTAGGGGAAGTTATATACAAGGAGAGAAAAACAAAGCCCATGTATTGATATTTCAAGATATTATCACTGTGGAAAGGTAAACGTTGAAGAGATACTAAAGCTACTAGTTGACAAATCTATCCCATTTCTGAGGACTTTTGAGGTCCTGTTAGATACTGATGAGCTCATTTTTGTAGTAAATTAATGCCTAGAAATATTATGTCTCACAATATGTATCTTTCAAGTAAAATAATAAATATTAGCAGGGGCCTACAGAGCCATGAAGGATTATTAATGGGACCTGATATAATGGTGGAATGGACAGACTTCCTGTTTGGATGATAAGGGCCTTTCTGTATTCCTATAGCACAGTATGTATGAGCACGTTGACAGTGATCCTAAACTGAAATGTACAACCAACTGAAGATAAATTTGGGGAAGAACAAAACCAAAAAAACCAAATAGGGCTTTGGAGAGAAAGGTGTCATCTTCACCATCATCCACCAGAGGGCACTATCTTTACATGAGCCCATAAAGGCACTTGCTCTCCATTTGGTATTGAACTATCCATTTAATAGAAATGAAAGAGGGAAGAAAAATACAGAAACAAGTGTTATCCAAGAATCCATTAATATAATGAAGGCCTTTTTGTTTCCTGTTAAACTTAGATGTGTGGACATGAATAAATACAGTTTTAATCAACAGATACAGATTATATTTATAGATCTATAAACATAAATACATATATAGACATCTATACATACATAGATATATACATATGTGTGTATCTCAAAAACACAACAGTGTCAACATATCCATTCAGCTAAAATGGCTACTTTTGAGCAATCTTATGAAAATCATCAAAATGCTCTTTTTTAGCTTACCACATAATAAGCATGCAATAAATAATTGGTGAATGTGTAAATAAAGAATCTGGTACAGTAGCATAGATGAAATGTCAGTTTAATTCTGATCTTGGTTTTGAAGGATAAGTTGGAGTTTGTTTGAGGAGTTCAGGCAGGCATTCTGAAGTCTTGTAAGTTCCTGGACTCAGACACCTAACTTGACATTGCAGTTCCAGTGATAGGATTTCATTGCCCAGTGGTTTCAGAGAAAAATATTGAGTTTCTGCCCCCTAGGAAGGGTGGCCAAGGAAGAGGCACATGAAATTGTTTTATGGAAAGTTTGAGAATTTGCTTTTGAATTAATCTCTACTTTATAGGGCTGAGAATTAAATGAAGACAAAGTATAAACCCCAAGTCTAACTTCTTCATGGAAGGCATTTAGTTAATGTTTATTGTCTCCCTTTTCAAAGCCAATGGAAAGTGAAGTAACCCACAGCCAACCAGAGGAAACTATCTAGGAAGGAGGGGAAAGGATGGTAAATAAAACTTGGATCTCAGGTTGAATTTTCCAGCTTATATGAGAGACAAGTCATTACATATTCATTGAGTACCTGTTAAATTTCTAGAAGGATATTACATCCAAAAGACACATTAGAAATAAATGAAGAGATCCTTGCTTTCCCAAAGCATAAAGTCAAGTTAAAGAGATAGAACTTAAACTCAGGACTTAAACTATAATTGGACAACAATGACAAAGAACCTGTCAATGCACACAAAGGCCTGAGTATAGGAAGAGTCTGAGTCATTCAAGGGGATCCAGGAGATTGGGTCACATAAAGACTTATAGAATCTAGAACCCCTTAGAACAGGTGTCACTGTGCATTCTCAAAGAGCCAGGTTCTGTTGATGGGGCTAATTCTGCCCCTAATCAATCACAGCGGCAGGAAGAGCATGGCAAGATGAGCAATGCTGGTGAGTCTCTGAGAGGGAGGGCTCTGAGGCTTTGAACCCCCAAATAAGGAAAATTGCTCACCTTCCCACTCACTAACAGATCTGAGTCATTCGGGGACACCATATGTGGCTCTTATTCCCCACCTCCACCCCCCACCTTATGCCATCACACTTTGAGCATAGGCCAGGACCCCCTTCATATGACAACTAAGGCAACTAAGAGGGAGGAAGTAAAATGTGAATCAGGCCATCATGTGTCATACTTCTTCCAGGTAGAAGGCTAGTATGAGGTTTAGGATTATCCAATGATTTCTTTTATTCCCAAATTAGTATTATTATTGTGTAGGATGAGTGTTGAAAGCCTTCACAATTTATTAGGAAGTTTGGAGACAGAACAGGTGAGAATGGAAAAACAAGAATGAAGAAATCATAGGATGAGTAAGGGGAAGTTGTGGAGAGCCTTATTACTAAACCCCATTAAGACAGTTCTGTTAATAGCAAGCCCTGTCATAGTCAAGCCCCTTGTCACCAGCCGTGTGTGTAGTTATGGAACAATCAATTGGGAAATTTCTGCCAAAATCCACTTTCCTGTACTCAAATGTCTTAATAATCTCATTAAACAAATTGATGCCAGGCTTTGTGACTGATAAACAAACAAAAGTCCAAAAGATTGAAGATCTTCTCTTGAAAGAACAATTCATTCAGCATTTATAGAACTCAGACATCGTGCAAACCTTTTAAATGCCTATGGGAAGAAAGATGGAGAGGCAAGGTCCCTATTCTCATAGTGTTCAGTCTAGTGAGGAATACAGATACATGAATGGATGAAAGCAATGACTTGTTCATTGTAATGATGTGGGGATGTACATCATAGTGCAGGACAGGGGCGATCAATTTTACCTTTGTAGTAGATTCTACCATGCTTGGTTCACCATGAAGATGCTACGTAGACCAGTTCTTGATAGATGACTAGAAATGTGTGAAGAAGACTTGGGCTGATAGGACATTTCAGGCAATGGGAATGCACCAACAAAGATATGGAGGTTGGAAGTGAGAGTACAGAGCATATGTAACAAAGAATGTCTTGGTTGGTCAACAGGAGGCAACATGGGTGTTGAAAGCCTTTAATAGCTTCTTTCCATGTAGATATTGTTTACTTCCTCTTTTATAATATCTGTGGGAAAGAAAGTCTAATTGAACATATGAGGATACACACAAGAAGTGGTGGGAGGAATTATACAGAAAAGCAGATCATTGAGCAGAAGTCCAAGGGATTTAATTTTAAGGGGCGGTGGGAGATGAGGCTGGGAGGGAACCTAAAAGCCAGATCTGGTGAAGCCTCAGATACTGTACTAAGGAGTTTAAACTTTACTTTGTGGCACATTGAGGAGTCTTTGAAGGGTTTTTAACAATAATATCAAAAGATTGTGGTGGCAGTGTGTGGAGAGTGCTTGGAAAGGAAAGAGACCGTAGCTAGGGAGTCCATTTTCAGAAACTGATGCAGCAGTCTGAGAGATATAGGGGCTTGACATAAGGGGGTGACTTTATGGATGGAGAAGAGAGGACAGGTTCCAGGCATATGTAGGAGAAACCACGTGGCATGGCCCTCAATTGCATGTGGGAGTGTTTGGGGATGGGAGAACAGAGAGCAAGAGAAGAAACAAAGGTGATTTTAAGGTTTCTGGTTTAGATTATTGGTGAGTTGTGTTTCTGGTAATGGAGATCAGGAATACAGGAAAAGGAGCAGGTTGGAAAGAAATAAAAGGTCAGATCAACTTTGAAAATATTGAGAGGAAACTACTGGTGGATATCTATGTAGAGATGTCCCATTGCTCACTGAGCATTTATAACCAGAGCCAAGGAAAGAAACCTGGACTGAAAACACAGATTTTGGAATTATCCACCTGGCACAAAATAAATAACTCAGGGAATGCTTATAAAAAGACCACCTGTAGTCTCCATGCTTGACTTTGTGACAGTAAACACTCATCTCCTCAGATGAATTTGGTTGGACAATGCAACAATCAAGCCTGTCAAGCCTGAGCGGAATCAAAATACTTTGTACAACCAGATCAATATTCAGAAAAGCTCTTTTTGGGTTTAATGTTGGGCCCAACCCAACAAGTTGTGATTTGACTGGAATAAATGTAGATTCCTGCCCTTGGTTTCTGAAAAGTGACTGGATAAATAAAGGATGGTGGAATTGATAGTGTAATGAGAGAGCACCAAAGCCAACCCCACCTCCAGCCACACTAATACAACATACAATATGGGCAACAGTTGTTTATGCTCTTCCCTGGTAAGAGTGCAGAGTTGTGGGTGACACTCTATCCAACAAAAGAGGAACCAGATGGCAAGGGGGCCATGCAAGGGACAGTTGAAGATTTGCTTAGTGACTAGCCAGTGGGGTTGGAGATAAGCAGAAGGCAGTGATAGCTTCATAAACTTGGGAGCACTGTCCCACTTAAGATGGGATGAATTCTGTGATGCTTCAGAGGGCAGAATTTCTGTATGTGGAAAGAAGATAAAGGAAGGCAGTTCATAGTAGGAAGAGCCTTCCTAACCATTTTCTCTTTTCATAAATGGAGTGGCAGCCCTGTGAGGTAGCAAGCCCCCCACAGCTGGGGGTGGTGAAACCGAATGATAGTGCAGAGGAGAGTCCTGGAAATGGGGAGACATTGAGTTAGATGACCCCACATGCCATGGTTACCTGAGGTTTGGCCATGTGAAATGCCCTGTTCAGTTGCTTTCTTTTCCCATCCTGAGTGCAATCCTGGCTCATGAGGGTGTGCTTTTCCTCCCCATATAGAGATAATCGGTTCTACAAATCTCGTAATTCTGCTGGAGAATGAAATCTTTGCCGATTTTTTCAACACGTTTCTTTCTCTCCCGGTAAGTGTTCTCACTCAGACTTAAATACACGGGTTTCATCAACAGACAAGCAGTGAATCTCACTGAGCTTGTGTGCCTTTAAAAAAAAAAAAAACTTCCCAAATCAAAACTATTTCAATTTGAGCAAGTAAATATGAATTCGAATTTCCTCTAAAATCCATAATCAAATTCCAAATCCCCAGCCTCCTTAATTGCCTTTGCCTGCCCATCACACCCTCTGCTGGTACCCAGTGGTCTACCCTCAGGAGCACACTTGGCATTCTCCCTCCTCTGCACCTTTCCTGGGCTCTGTTAGTTTCCGTAGTTCCACCTACCAAAGTCTTCACCATTTTTCAAATCTCTGCTTAAATCCTGGTCTCCTTAAGGAATTCCTAGGTTCTTCCAATGGGACTTATATTTCCCTGCCTCTGTGCCCCTTAGCACTTTGCAACTCTGTGCTTTACATGTGGGTCTCCCCCACTGGATGGTGAGGTTGTGACTTCCTGCAGGACAAGGACTGTGGGTTATTCATTGTGCTCCACTCCCCTCACCAGGTGTTCAGCACACAAAAATGACTGAGTTGTTCACAGGAACCGAACCTATATATTTTCTCAATCTATGCAACTGAAATGAATGCCAAATGTCAAAATATTCTTAAACCCAACCCTAGCCTAGTTTCACATCTCTTTTGGTTGACATCTTTGGTTACATCCTAATACGGGTGCCTTATAAAAATCCTGGCTCATCTCAGTACACCCTTTCCTGTGAATGCCACCCACTAAAAGGTGAGATTTTATATAACAGGGAAAAAACACTGTGTTATTCCACAAACACAGTGGTCACTTGGGTGGTCACTTTGTGCCACTCACGAGGCTTAGCACTGGGACATAGATAATTAATGATATCACCTCTGTCCTCAAGGACTTCCATCTAATGTAATTTAAGGTGAGCGACATGGTAGAAGTTTCTAGGAGGTAGTGGGGTACAAGAGAGAGGCCACGCCTACTTGGAAGAGTAAGGAAAACTTCAGTGAAGAGGTGACACAAGCCAAGACTTGAAGGAAGACGAGGTATTTGAGAATTGGGGAGAGGGTGATGGATAAAGAAGTAGAAGGAAAAGACTGAGGGGTTGAGTAGCAAGGGACGTGAAGGCATTACAGACAGAATGGGGTGAGTTAAGGCACCAAGGAACAGCAGGCATTACAGACAGAATGCCCTCTGTCAAATATACTTTGTGACACTTTGAGACATTTTTGGTGCCTGTGGTGAGAAGCCCTTTCCCATCTGTCTCAGATCTGGTTGCCTAGGTCATAGTCCCTGCTCCAGGACAAAAGAGAACAGTGGGCTAGAATTACTTATCAATTTTGGACACTCTTAATGCCCCCTAATTTTCATATATTTGGTCCTCTCTACTTTCTCCAGCTCAAGAGTTTAGGCAAATCCAAAGCCATTTCTCTTCATGAAAGGGTTTAGGTCTTTGCTTTAGCCAATGAATATACAAGATATACAAAAGTCAACACCATTTAACATCATGGGCTTTGGCCTTTGCACACAGGTGAGATAACTCCCAGGCTGAGGCAGGGCTGAGCCAAAAGATGAACAAATCTTGTAATTTAGTCTACTTTAGGTATTTTTGTGCAAGGCAAGTTGATTCAGTGGAGTACATTCAAGAATTAATGTCCCCTGAAATAGGAAAGCAATGGAACCTCTTTTCCCCTGTGGCTGCAGACGGACCATGACATGTTCATGAAGAGGAGCTCTACCTCTTTGGCTGTTTCCTAGCTTTCTTTTGCAGGTCTTTGGCCAGACACCATTTTACACAGTTGAAAATGCAGAGTGGAGCTTGTGGCCAGAAATACCTCATGACTTGGTGAGTAAGGGTCTTTCTTTAATGGCCGAGGTCTTGGGATGGGGGGGAAAGAGGGAGCTGAATTGGAAGCGTGGTTGGGAGAGGGAGAGGGAGAAACCATAAAGCAGGTGAGTAGAGCAAACAGTATCAAGCTAAATAGACATTTCTCCTCTGTGCATTCTTACCACTTGGGCAAGAGGCGCTGGTGAGCCCTTTCCTTTCTATTCTAATCCTTGGTTAGCAAGTGGGACTTATCTCTCATGCTCACTTTGACTGTTGGGTAGTAGGTGCTTGAAGCACTGTGCTGAGAAGAACTCTGAGGCCACACCTAAACCAGAAGGAGTCTGGGAATTGATTGGCAGTGCCTGCCATGGGTGAGGGACAGGAGGTCACAGCCCATGGGCCACATGGCAACTATTTGCACTATAAGGTGTAGCTCAAGGTAAGATGCCACTCTGCAATGCCTGATGACTACTCCACCACTCTCCTCCAGAGATTGTCTCACTCTTCCTTCCTCATGCCCTTTTTCCTGGTCTTCGTCTATTAGCTTTCTCTTGTCTTTCTCCCCCTTCCTGTTACCCTTTTCCACTAGGTTGATGTTAGACTTACCCATGGCTTCCACATGCCCTACCAGCAGCAGGTGGGATCAGAAAGATCACGCTAAGCCGTGCTCACAGCAAGGTTTTGTTTTCCTCCAGGACCTGGAGAGTTAGGACACTCTACTCTGATTCTTGCATGTGGTGTTCCTGGAGAATTCCAAAACTTAAAACTTTTAGTTTTTTCCTCCCTTCTCTGGTGGTCCAGTCTCTCAGGGGTCCATCCTGGACTCTAAATGATGTTATGTGTGAGTCTCTGTGTGTTTTTGTATACGTTGTGCAGTTGATATGGGCTGGGAGCCTGCAAAAAATTATAAATGTGCTTACAAAGAAGCACATTGAATAGAGTTATGACCCAAACGCCACAGACCAAAGTCTCTTCTGCTTCTCTCCTATCAAGCAGGACTTAGATCTTTTTTTAAAACAACTTCACTCAGGGATAAGGAAGATTTTTTGATGAAAGATCAAGGCTTTTCTTGCCAACCAACCCATTCACTCCTTTGGGAGCCTCAGTCCAAGTCTCCAGTCCCCTTCGGTTCTATTTTTAATCAACACGTCTCTCCTCTGGGCCAGATACAGCAAGTGTGAGGTTATGTGTTGCCCTTTGCTAAGCTGCATTTCTTAACAGTTCAGTTCCATTTCTCTTTTCTGTTCCTATTTTGTCTGGACTCTAGATTCCAAAGTACAAAGGATTATTGACCTGGTTGGGAAAATACCGGTTACCTTTCTTCTGTAAAACCAACTTGTGTTTCCATTACATTCTCTGTCAAGAGCTCATCAGTTTCATTAATTCCCAAGAAGGAGGTAAGCATGGGGGTATAAGTGTGGAGAAATATGGAAAGCCAGGATACATAGCAATCCTGTGCCTTTAGTCCTACAGTGAAGTACAGATAGGGGCCACCTTTGCAGCCTTAGACATGCAGGTGGCTTAGCTTGTGTTGTGGCAATAGGTGAAATCTTAGGCTGGTAAATTGGTACCTAAATCAACAAGCAGAAGTCAGTTGGCTTGGCTATTTGTCTTAGTGCATCCATAAATGAGAGAGTTAGTGGTGGCCACAGGACATCAAAAATTGTCTAAAATATATCCAGAATCAAACATACCTCACGACCTTCATTGCTACCACCTGGCCTAAAGCCACCGTCATTTCTCACCTGGCCACTGAAATCATTTTAGACTCCTTCGTTTTGCTCTTGTTCTTCTGCTCATAGCAGACAGAATAAGCCTTTAGGCATTTAATTCAGATCATGTCCTTCCTCTGCTCAAGGTGAAACCCAATGCCCCTACAATGGCCTTCAAGGTCCTAGAGACCAGGCTTCATTTCCTTTCTGATCTCATCTCCTTCCACTCCATTTCTACGACATTGGCCTCCTTGCAGTTCCTCAAGCATACTGGACAGATTCCCATTTCAAGGCTTTGCACTGGCTGTTTACTCTGCCTGTAATGCTCTTCCTCCCCTTCCACACTGGATCCCTCTCTCGTCTCCTCAAATCTCCGTGAAGATCTCACCTACTCCATGAAGACCGTAATGCCCACTCATCCAACCCCTGCCCTAGCACTCCCAACTCCATTTACCCTCCTCTACCTTTACGTTTTTCCCCATAGTGCTTATAACCTTCAACTTTTCTAGATAATGTACTCATTACACTGACTGTTCATTGTCTGTCGTGTTCACTAGACTATAAGCTGGAGGGCAGGGATTTTTGTTCTGTTTGCTGATGTATCCCAAACACCTAGAATGGCACTTGGTACTTAGTAGACATGTAATAAATATTCGTTGAAAAAATGAATGAATAAAATCTCCATTTAGAATTGAATTGGTAACTTTACTCTCAGTTCAACTAACCAAAAGAAACTAAATATGTCCCACCCAGGGAAGGTTAAGATTCAGGAAATCCCATTGAGTAAAATGTTGTAACAAATCACCGCTATACACTCTTTTCCCTACAATATACATATTGGGGAAATTGAATTGGCAGAATCACTGTCACGTGGGGACTGTAGAAGACAAGGGGCCTTGGTTGGAGTGTGTTTTTGATCTTGGATTGTACACATGCTTGTGGGTCCCTCGCATGTCACTTGATGCATGTCACTAGAGGGTCTGGTGCCTAGTTTCAAAAGCACCGCATAATCAGGACCCAACTCATCTAACGGGCCACCATTTCTCCTCACTCATACTGAGCAAATGAGGGTCTGACCATGAGCAAGGCTGAGAGGAGCCAGGGACAGAACTCACTCTCACCATGGACTTTTCCTGGCAGCAAAGATGATGAGATGGAAAAAGGCAGACCAGTGGCTACTCCAGAAATGCATTGGCGGGGTCAGAAGGATGTGGCGCTTCTGTACCTACCTCAAAGGCAGTGCAGGTGGGTTTTTGGAGTTCTTTCTGGGGTCTTTGCAAGTTCTTAACAGCTTCCAGGGTGCCCCGGAGCACTTACTGACAGTTATATATGTCTATGGTAAATATAAAATTGATTTATAATGCAGTTTGGGTAAAGTCTTTGAAAACTGAGACCCATAGTGTAGGTTAGGGCAAACACAACCAGAGTCCCTTTCACTCATTCATTTATTCATTCATTCATTCATTCATTCAACAACGGTTATTGAGCACCACTCTGTGGCAGCCACTCTGCTGGTATGTGGGTATACAAAGGAGAACGAGAGCCATAAATCCCCACTTCATAAAGCTGCCACGACGGTGGGGAGACAGACAAGGAACAAGTAAATAAGTAAATCCCTGTAGCAAGTGTTGGGACGCACTGCTTTCTGCTTGATCGGATCCAGTATTTGGTGAGTCTGGGAGACCGACAGCCTGTACTGGCTGACAGTCCAGTTCAGTAACGTTAAGTTTTGTCCATGGACAAGCCCTAGGTTAAGGGTGAAATCCTGGATCTCCAGGGAACAGGGAGGGAAGAACTAGACACTAGACAGGCTATTGCTCAGTTTGTCAAAAAGACTTCAGCCCTGGCAAAGTTGTGAAACGGGGAACATAGTCTTTGGTACCTTTTGGCCCCAGTGTCCTTCTGCTGGCTACTCTTAGACCAAACTCAAAAGTCTCATGATCCATCCTCAGAGTCTTGCAGTTTTCCCTAAAGTGACAGTTTTTCTAACAATAAGAAGTCACAAAAGATCCCTATCCATTAAGTCCCTTCTCCCCATGACTCCCATGTGCCCCCATATTAGGACATTTCTGGAGATGGTGCCTTAACCCAAAGGAGTGATGTTGGTGATGTTGGAAGCAATAGAGCAGGCTGGTGGTGGGGGTATCAGCTGCCACACTCAGATGCAACCGCTGAAGGGGCAAGATTGTGGTGCAGCTCTGTGCCTCTCCTGTCTGATCTGTAGGTGAAGAGCTGATGGACTTCTGGATCCTTGCTGAGAAGATCCTGAGCATAGATGAGATGGACCTGGAATTGAGAGACCACTACCTATCTCTCCTCCTTGTGCTGAAGGCCACCCACCTTCAGGAGGGCTCACGGGTAGTGACGCTCTGCAACATGAACATCAGTAAGAACTATAAAGTGTATCTGAAGTGAAATCCTTGAGAAATGAAACCAAGAAATCAATCCAGTGCCTGATAGCCCTCAGCCCTGCCACTCTTTCCATCTTCTATGCATCATTAGTGATGCCGGTGGGAAACCTAACCCTTAACAGGAGAGAGATGAGAGAGACTAATTGTCATTAGGCTTGTAGGGCCTCTTCTTGAGATATTACTTGCCAGCGATCGTTGGCTGGATGGAGTCGAGAGAAATTGGAGCAAGGTAATCGCACAACTCCTCCACCTTCTGAGCCTGCAGGACTTGTCTTTTTTTTAAATTGGGATTCTCTAGAACAAACTACAGCCCACAGGCCAAATGAAGCACATGTGGCCTATGAGCTAAGAATGTTTTCATATTTTTAAAGGGTTAAAGAGGACAAGTGTGTAACAGAGACTGTAGGTGGCCCACAAAACCTATAAACTATTTACTAGCTGCCCTTCACAGAAAAAGTCTGCAAGACTCTTCTCTAGTACATCAGATTCATCTTTATTTATTTATTTATTTATTTATTTATTTATTTATTTATTCACTTATTTATTTGTTTAGTGAGGAGGCATTGCTAACCCAAACACAAATGTGTTCCAGAAGATTTGCTCTTTGGGATTACTCACACTACTCCTTATTCATAGAGATAATTGAGAATTGATGAGATTAAAATCAGGGCTAGTAAAGACTCCTTCACATTATTCAGTCCAAAGCCCTCTCTCCTGTCAGATCTAACCCTGAGAAATCCCATTCAAAGCTACATGTCTCTCGTTCTTAAACATGTTTTCATGTGACTTTTGCTTTTCTTTACAATAACATTCAATAGTCTAAAAAGTAACTTGAAGAATCCCATAGAATGACTTATTCATCTGGGGAAGAAGGAAGGTAATCAGAGAAAGGGGTCACCATGCTGAACATACCTAAACATGTATCCACCATGTTTGACCTGTTCATACCCCTGGATTACGTGAGGAACAAATGAAATTCTGTTCAAAAACATTTGGAAAAATTTAACAACCTCACCATCACCACATTGTTTTCATCATTCATCTCTCTGTCTTCAGAGTCTCTCCTGAACCTCTCTATCTGGCATCCCAACCAGTCAACCACCAGGAGGGAGATCTTGAGCAACATGCAGAAAGTGGCTCTGTTCAAACTCCAGAGCTATTGGCTTCCCAACTTTTTCACCCATGCCAAGACCATCATAGCTAAGGAGGAATCATGTCATGGTCTGATGCAAGAATATGAGACTCGCCTGTACAGTATTTGCTGTACCCATGTAGGAGGGCTCCCTCTGAACATGAGTGTCAAGAAGTCCCATCACTCCCAGAAGCAGTACTCGAGCAGGAAGACCAAGCTGAAGATGTGGCAGTTGATAGACCATGACTCTTGGTCTCTAGAATTGGATACCAACTCAGACACCAATTCCATGGCGTGCCAGGAGACCTGTCCTCAGGAGAAGGTGGTCATACAAATGCCTTCCCTGAAAAAGGCCTCTTCAAAGGAGAGAATAACCAGTTCCCTGGAAAAGGATAGCCTCTGTGCCAGGAAGTCCAACAAGAAGAAATCCAAGAGCCACCTCCACATGGAGGGCCTCTTTGAGACAAAGTTCTCTACCCACCTGAGGACTGCCACCCCCATCATCCGTCACTCCCCCCATATGACAATCAAGAATGCCATAAAGCAAAGACTCTCTTTGGGGTACACCCACTGGGCCTTGTGTGCCGATGCTTATGCAGGGAATCCCTTCCGGGACCACCTGAAGAAGCTGAATTTGAAAGTGGAGATCCAACTCCTGGACCTCTGGCAGGACCTGCACCATTTCCTCAGTGTACTGATAAGTAATAGGAAGACTGGGAATGGCGTCTTTTGGCACATGCTGGGCAACCGAATCTGTGAGCTCTACCTGAATGAACAGATTGGCCCATGCCTACCACTCAAATCCCAAACTATTAAAGGTCTGAAGGAGCTGCTGCCTTCTGGGAATATGAACCCCTGGATACCCAGAGCCCAGGAAGAGATCTGCCAGGTTAGTTACACCTTACAGAAATGGGTTAGTATCTGGAAAATTAGGTCAAGACCTGAAATTCTATCTAGTCATCTATACCAAGTTAATGATATAATTAGCCATATAACCCTGCACCTATCGAAGAGTTGATTAATCTTTTAGGAATAGGCTGTACAAATTCCTAAGAAGCATTCAAAACTCCAAAGTATTCCTTCTTCAATTCTCCCTTATGTGGACTCTCCCAAAGCCATGAACCTCAGAGTGTTCCACTGAGGAAAGTTTTAATAACACTATTCTAAACATTATATATTGAAATACAGGGTCTTTCTTTCCTAAAACAGCCGTCAAGAAAATGGCCAATTGAAAAGAGTTTATTCTTATCCTAAAACATTAGATAAAAGCAGGAGACCATCCTAAAGACTCACAGGAAGTAAGGCCCATTGCTTGACTATTGTATCAAGATCTTGGGAGAAAACAAATTGCAGAGTCAGTTGGGAAACAGATGAGCATCCAGGAAAAGGGACTAATTACAAGGGAGTGAGCACAAGGGTAGGGAAATCACAAAGGATAGTGCAGTACTCCAGGGCCAGTAGGGGTGGGCACCTTTATCACTCTTAGGCCTGAAGAGTTGAGGAGACGGAGTAGTTACCAGAACCAGGAGAGAAAGAGCTGTATGGAGTGGAACACTCAACAGGAGCTGTAATTGTCAGGAATAGAGGGATGTAGCCAGTCCACAGTGATCTGGCTAGGAAGGAGTAGGGAAAATAGATACCCCAAACTCACTCTACTCTTGCTTTCCCATCTCCTGTCAGGACTCCTGACTGGATATGTCTAACCAGAGGTCATGGGAGCCTGTTGATGTGGTCCATACAGGTTAATTTCCCAAGGCACAAGCCAAGATCTGGAGGAGCAAGTGGATATAAGTAGCAACTTATTTAGTGCATTATAATGTATTTACCTTATAAAGCACATTACCTCCTTGAGGCTTCCTAACACCTCCAAGAGGCGGACAAGGTAGTATTGTTGTCACTTGTACAGTAAGGAAAATGAGACTCAGAGTGTAAGTGGATTAGCCCAAGGCACACAGCAGACTAGTGGAGGAACCAGGGGCAGAACCCAGAAGTTCTTGGTTGGAAGTCCAACACAATTTCCAGCACACCATAATTATCCAGGGTCGCACATCTGGGTAGTGTAGGACCAGATCAGTCCAGTGGATCCACAGCCAAAGCTCTTCTGTGCACAGTTCTTCAGTACTAGAAGTCCAGGGACCTTCTGCCCTTTGTGAAATGCGTTCCCTCCTCTCTGTTCCCAAAGAACTTTGCTCATACCTCTGTGGTGGCATGTGTCATACTGCTGTTCATCATGCTAGAAGGTGAGCTCCTTGAGGACCCAGCTTGTAGCATATTGATTTGTATATTCTCAGCAATGGGCACAGTGTCTGGCACATGGGAGACACTCAGAAAGTATTTATCAAATAAATACATGAATGAATGTGAGAGTACAAATATATAAACCTAGCTAAGCACTAACTCAAAGGTTTTTATTGTTGTTATTGTTGGGTTTTGTTTGTTTATTTTAATGTAATGAAATATTCTTCACAAGTGGGTAAGGCATTCAAGTGGGAGATATTAAGAGTAGACACATCAAAAGGAGATGGTTGGTTTCAGGACCATTTTGAGAATCAGATGAGATCATACTTTGGAAAGGAACAAAGATGTACAAGATGTCAAATATTTGTCCTTCAGTAAACTATTTGTTGTATCTCTTCTTTTTTACTTCTTTTTTTTATTTTTTAAATTGGTTTTTAGAGAGAGAGGAAGGGAGAGGGATAGAGAGATAAAAACATCGATGAGGAAGAAACATCATCAATCAGCTGCCTCCTGCACTGGGGATCGAGCCCACAACCTGGGCATGTGCCCTGACCAGGAATCGAACCTTGACCACTTGGTTCCTGGGTCGATGCTCAATCACCGAGCCACACCTGGCTGGGCTTCTGTATTTCTTCTTAAATAAATATTGGTTACTATCCTCTGAGATTCAGAGAGGGGCTGCCATATTTAGAAAGGCAAAGACTTGCCCCCTGGTGGGTCATGGCTAATGTTTGCTATTCCATTGTATCTCCAAGTTAGAGAATCCAGAGTCTGCAGCCCACTCCTCTCCCAGGTGAACACTAGCAGGCGAGATGCAGCAAGCTGAGCACTACCTCCTAACACTTAGGTCCGTGTTTCAATTGCAGATACTCAGCCACTGGTATGATGAATTTCTGGATGAAGAGGACTACTGGTTTCTCACGTTTTCAGTAGGAGGGGCTTTGAGTTGGGGAGGAATCATGAGGTTGAGGGAAGAAAAGAGAGTAACTGCTCTTTTAGAAGCCTTATTTGTTAAAGTAAATGAAAGGCTGATTTTTTTTCCTAGAGGCAACTGGGGTGGGGATTGACATGGTCCCTAATGTTCTAAACATAAACCTCTCAAGGAAAAAGACTCAAGTGTATGAGCTGACTTTGAAGGAGTCACATTCATATAGAATTTCTCCCTTATAGAAAGTGGTTTGATTAGAAAAGGGAGGGGGTTGGTGTGTCAAGGAGCAATGGTTCTGAACAAATTGAAAAGCGTCAGCCTAAGTCTGCATGACAGGGAGACGCAGGAGGACTGGGCTCTTACAAAAGTCTTGCTTCTGCTCTAGTTCCTGTAGAAAATGTTGTCTGCCCCCTCCCCCTTCTCTTAGACTCAGAGCAAGTTCATCAGCACCGGGAGGCATAAGAGAGACTTACTAAACAAAAAAGAGAACATTCTTCTATATAAGAGGTTTGAGGAATCCCTGGCATTAAGCCAGGGTTTGGCTAACATGGAGGAAATGGATTCTATGCAGTGGCAAAAACTAGCTACTGAGGACCTGAGACAAGGCGGGTCTCTCCAGGTAGAACTGAAGTCTCCAGTGTTTCTGGCAGGTGAGGGCAGTCACCATAATTTTTTTGACACTGACATATAAGCAACACTGACATATAGGCAATGCAAAGATGACCTCATTTGCTCTTCAAAATAACCTGAGATAAGTACTGAGTAATTGAGGCACAGAGGGGGGTCAGTGACCACCCCAGGGTCACACAAGGGGTGGCAGAGAGGATCTGAATCCAGACTGACTGACTGCAGAAGCTCCTACTGGCTGTGAAGGGGGCCAGAGCACTAGAGTGCGGCCAGACTCATGCCCACCACAGCGTCGCTGCAGTTGAACTGAACACTTCATCTCATGCATCTGATAAGCACCTTCTACCTCACTGCCCCTTCCCCAGAATCCAATCCAAAGCATTTCTGTGCATTTATTTTTAACAGCTACCCTCCTTCCCCAACATAACACCCCAGCCCACCCCAGCAGTGGAGAGAATTGTAGAGGAGCACAAGGCTCTGCTCTCCTACAGTCCTGGGGTCACATCTGAGCTCCACTAATGACTCTGGAAGCTTGAGCAATGCATTTAACCTCTCTTTAAACCTCAGTTTTCTCATCTGTAAGTGGGGAATAATGACAGGCTTGTTGTGAAGATGACCTGAGATCATCTATGAAAGCTATTAGCACAATGTTTGGCAATAGTACAAGTCCAATAAATGTTAGCCATTGTTATTCAAATCGAACAAATTGTTTTAATTGTCTATGTTGAGGCAGTCAGGATAATGCAGTATTTCTCACACTTAGATCCGCAATAAATATATTTGATTTCAGGGGACATATACTTATATATCTATATGTGTGTGCATATAGATACAAAAATATTTTCACAAACCAATGATGTACTCTAATAATCTCTATCCTATTCTATTTTGTTTTGTAAATGCCAGAAATGATTCAATTTATTTTTTTGACATACTGTTGAGTCGTGTGAACTACACTTTGAAAAACAGATAGAACAAGAGTGAGCCAAGGCTTCGAAAATTCAGTTCTACCATTCCCTCACTCATGAGCCTAGGGAAGCTACCTCATCTCTCTGAACCTCGTTTCCTCATCTGTGGAATGGGGCTGATGGCCCCTACTTTGCAGGGCTGTTGAGGGTGTTGGAGGTAATGCATTTACACAGCAAACAGGTGCTCAACAAGTAGTACTTGCTAGATTACACTAAAAAATGTGACACACTCTCAAAATCAATTAAAAAATCTTTAAAAAAAAAAATCTATCATGAACAGGCCTTCTGTTTCACCTCAGAGTTTCACCTTCTCTCTAAATCCTGAACATTCCAGAACCTATCCCAGAAACCTAGAGAGAAGTGGGAGAAAGGGTAGCTGGTAAATTTCACCACACATATACAGGGCAACAGGCGTTTAGTGGCCATGGATTGTCTGGGATGGCCAGGAGGAGAGGGAACCACCCTCTCTCTCTCCCAGCACACATGATTACTTCACCCACCACTCCTGTTTTGGAGCACAGGTTTGACCTGACAAGGGCCTCCTGTGCATTTGCCCATCTTGGGGCCCTGACTGCCTGGTAGATTGATGCCTCCACTCAGGCTGCACCATAAACTCTCAGAGCACCAGAACCAGAATATTCTCAACTTTCACACAGAGAAAATTAGTCCTAGAAAAGCAAAAAGGTTGCCCAAGTTTGCTCAGCAAGGAAGAACTAGAAACCTGGGTCCACTGCAGAAATAATCCACCGCTCTTACAATTACAGCCAGATACCCCATTTTGAGAGACGATAATGACGACAGTGACAATTGACATAAGGCCAACTGACTTCTGTGAGTCCACACTCTCCAATTCCTTCTGGACTCCACCAGTATGACTCAGAAAGTACTTGACTGCCTTGGGGAGTTCCAGCTGTGCGTGACTGGGCAGAAAGTCTCCATGGGTCAGGGGTCTCCAGGAAGGGCAGAATCTTCCCACCCTGGAGGGGAGGCTGTATTTCCTTGCTTCTAATTTGTCCTAGGGAACTTGTATTCCTTGTGTATAAACATTCCATTAAAGCACTTGTTGTACTTAAATAACATTTTAAAGACAATACTTTTAACAAAAGTATATGAATCTTTGACCCCAAAGTGGTCAACTAGGCTCCCCCCTGTTTTTCTCTACTTGATAGACATAGAAAACATGTCCTTTGAGGAACTCTGCTATAAGTATCCAAAGGTGGCCATAGAGAAGATCAGTGATGACTACAAAATATATTGTGAAAAAGCACCTAAAATGGGTAAGTGTTTAAACCCACAGATAGATTTGAGACAGCCAGGTAGGAAAGCATCCCCAAACTCGATAGGCCACAAGCCAAAAGAGGAACCATGCTTTGTTTGAAATGAGGGCTGATCAGAC